ATTGAGTTAAGGTGGGAGGGGAACTCTATAAGATGTTCACGAGCGATGCAGACATGGCTATCGTCAACATATCTATACCGCCACTTAGGAGGGTGGAGTGCGGTGACTAAAGCTCTCTCTTCGACGTGTTCCATAACCAAATTTTCCAAAATTGTGCTCACAGGTGAGCCCATTGGGTAGCCAAATATTTGTTTGTAGAAAGTGCCATCAACGATAGAGTAGTTACCAAGTACTAATTCGAGCAAATTCAAGATGCTGTCAACAGACATGCTTGTTCTTTCCGAGGTGGTCGGATCAGCTTCAAGTCTGTTCTTAGTCACCTCGAGCGCCAAAGTTGGTGGTATAGATGTGAAGAGGGATGCCACATCGACAGATACCATAATTTCCTGCAGGGTGATGTTACAAACCGAGACGTTTTTCACAAAGTCGCCGCTGCTCGTAGCAGTGTACTTGTTGTTTTGTAGAGGGTTCAGGATAGAAGCTAGATGTTTAGACACCTGGTTAGAAGGACAGTTGATAGAGCTGGTGATGGGTCGTAACGGAACCTCCAGTTTGTGTATTTTTGGTAGTCCATGGAGGGTAGCTGGTGTGGCATCACTGCTTCGGAGTGTGTAATAAAGTTTGTCATCGAGTTGCTGCACGCCAGGGTCATGGGTTGATGTTAGACCTTTAACTTGTTTGAGAAAGGTGTTTAAGGATTTCTCTGGGCCAGGAGCGGGGTTCCTGCGTCGATCTGAAATCTTCGTGTAAGTGTTCTGATCTTGTAACAAGCCATTGATTTTTTGTTGGTAGTCGCTGCTGTCCACCACGACAACAGCACGACCTTTATCCGCTGGTAAGATGGTAACTGATGTATCCTTTGATAACCGTTTTGAGGTTTCGAGTTCATCTTTTGTCATGTTGCGATGGCGCGAGGGTTTGCTGTTTTTCAGGATCGAAGTAGTCGGGGCTTAAATGAAATTTGCTGACTCGGGTGGTAGATGTATATACCTGACTCGACCGATGATATGACTTTTGCAACAGGAACAGACTTCGGTGTAATCGCAAACTTGAAACCATGGCTCAACGCTTTTTTCATCTAAGTCACTCAAAGGTTTGCTAGATATGTTGACAACCCATCTATCTGTTTGATCTTCGAGGCGGTTGTCTGAGCGGTTGTAAAGAGGTCTCTGTAGTTTGTCTTGTCGGATCCATCGCATTTCTGGACATCAAGACAACCAGGAATCTCGATGGAACTATAAAAGCTAGCGTCTACAGGTAAATCACGCCCTGAAGATCAATGGTTACACCGGAAAATTTATTAGAAGCTGGCATAGCACCACTGGGTCTACACATCAGTCTCAAACCAATAGAGGTTTTGTTACCCTGCAATATCTTCAAAGAATTTCATAAAAATAATTCCAAGGACTTTAAATCAATTCAATATCAAAGTTGCCCACAAACCCGCAACGACCGTTGGCTCAATTTCAAAAAAACCTAAAGAAAAATTTAGTAAAGACTTATTGGGGCATGATTGCAGCCAAAAAATGTGCACGAAATTCTCGGAACGTCCATCTAGCGTCGGAAGACGAGGCTTCTTCTCCTTTGATCTGACCTGATT